TGGACAGATCTGTCAATTTCAGTTTCTATGCATTTCTCATTTTTCCAACCCTAAATTTTGTTCTCCACATTCCCACATCAGTTTTTGTTGTTTCATGGGTGCAGGTGGCACTGAGGTCTAAACCACAGAGCCTCTTGGGCTTGCCGATCGGAAGGTCAGCGGTTCGAATCCCAACCCTAAATTTTGTTCTACACACTTCCACAACAGTTTTTTGTTATAATGCTATTGTTTGTAATCTGCTTTGAATGGAAAGCAGTCTAGAAATACAGTGGACGCTCGGGCTGCGAACGTGATCCGTACGGGAGGCATGTTCGCAACCCGCAGCGTTCGCAACCCGCAGCGCCGCATCTGCACATGTGTGGGTTGTGATTCGGTGCTTCTGCACATGCACAGAGTGCAATTTAGCGCTTCTGTGCATGCGCCAAAACCCAGAAGTAACCTGTTCCGGTACTTCTGGGTTCGGCACGGTGCGCAACCCGAAAACGCACAACCTGAAGTGTCTGTAACCGGAGAGATGACTGTACCTCGGGTTAAGTACTTAATTCGTTCTGGAGGTAACTGTTCTTAACCTGAAACTGTTCTTAACCTGAAGCACCACTTTAGCTAATGGGGCCTCCTGCTGCTGCCGCACCGTCGGAGCACAATTTATGTTCTCATCCTGAAGCAAAGTTCTTAACCCGAAGCACTATTTCTGGGTTAGCGGAGTCTGTAACCTGAAGCGTATGTAACCTGAGGTACCACTGTAAATTAAACCAAATGTTTAAAAAAGTAAGTTCTTTCCCAGAGGGAAAGATTTCTCCCCACTGGTGCAAGCAGGTAGTTTTGGACTCTAATCTTCGTGAGAACAGAGGAAGCTGCCTTATAGGGAGTCAGACCATTGGTGCATTTCCAACACTGACTGGCAGGGTTTCAAAAGGGAGCTTCTCTTATCTTCCTGCCTGGCGCACGTCTCACACGGGACGCAAGCGACCTCCCTGGCACAGACGGAGCCTTCCCCCTTTTTCTCTCCTTTTCTAAACCCTGGGAAGTACCTTTGCCCCATGGCACCCTTTCCCCACCGCAGTCACAAGGGGATGAGGAGCGGGCGGCGAGCGGCTTCCGTCCCTCCCGCCCCGTCGAACCGTGAGTCACCCGCACGCGTCTTTGTGTTGCCCTGTTTCAACCGCTGCCTCGCAGCCCCCTCATTGGCTGCGAGGGGGCCGCTGCCCTCTCCCGATTGGCTACGGCGCGCCTGGGCGGGGGAGGCCCTCCGGCGGGGGCAGCCAGGGTCCGCCTGCCCGGGCATCGCGGCCGCCTCTATAAAGAGGCACGTCGGGGCGGCTTCTGCATGAGACTCAGGCGGCAGAGCGGGCTTGCAGGAGACGCAAGGAGAAGCAAGGCTGAAAGAGGCGACCCGGGCTGATCGGAGGAGAGGAGATCCAGAGGTCAGATCCCACCCCGTCTTTGGAGAAGCGCCGTCGAGGCCAGACGCCGGGATGGCGTCCGCCGCGCTGCAAATCCTGGGCTTGTCGCTGTCGCTGCTGGGCTGGCTGGGGGCCATCGTGGTGGCCGGCTTGCCCATGTGGCAGGTGTCGGCCTTCATCGAGAACAACATCGTGGTGGCGCAGAGCACCTGGGAGGGCCTGTGGATGAACTGCGTGGTGCAGAGCACGGGGCAGATGCAATGCAAGGTGCACGACTCCATCCTGGCGCTCAGCCCCGAGACGCAGGCCGGCCGGGCGCTGATGGTCATCGGGGCGCTGCTGGGGCTGGTGGCGCTGCTGGTGACGGTGGTGGGCGCACAGTGCACCAACTGCGTGCGCCCCGGCAAGGCCAAGGACCTGATCGCGGCGGTGGGCGGCGGCCTCTTCGTGGCCTGCGGCCTCCTGGTGCTCATCCCGCCCTGCTGGTACGCCAACATCGTCATCGGCAACTTCTACGACCCCTCGGTGCCGTCGTCGCGCAAGCGGGAGATGGGCGCGGCGCTGTACCTCGGCTGGGCCGCCGCCGCGCTCTTGATGGTGGGGGGCTCGCTCATCTGCTGCTCCTGCGCCCGCAAGGGAGACCCCTCGGCTTTCCCCGTCAAGTACTCGGCTCCCAGGAGGCCCGCCACCAACGCCGCCACTTCCAACGGGGAGTACGACAAGAAGAACTACGTCTGAAGGCGCCCCCGGCAGGGGAACTTCGACGGCGGCCGTCGGAGCCAGCGCAGCGGGGACTTCGCGGGGAGCAACGGCAGCGGCGTTGGCGCGTCTCTCGGCCTCGCCGTCGAGCTTCCGAGGGGCGATCGCCTTGGCAGAAGACCAGCGCTCCCTCCCCTCTCCCTTTTAAACTGCTTTTGTCTCTTCTTCCCAAGAAAACTCTCTTTTGCGAAGAAAAGGAATCGCGCCCAGGAACTCCCCGTTGCATTTAGGACTCCTCTGGGTTTGGGGGGGAGGTATTTTTTGGACCCCCAAATTGTATCGATTTCGTGGCGTCGCTTCTGAACTGGAAGCTTCGGGTGGGAACACACACACACGGTCTGCTTCTTTTAAATTATATGTAAATGGGAGAATTTGCACTCTAAATCAAGCCGGGCAAAAAAGAAAAGAAAAGAAAAGAAAAAGAGCAGGTGTTTGGTTAGCTTTGGGAAAGCCATCCTGATTGTAAATATTCCGGGTTGGGGGGGGGGGGTTTGCCTCGTTTTGTACTGTTTCAAATGATCCAAAGGGATTCGCCGGGTATTAAACGCTGAGCAAGCATTGCAGGAGTAATAGATCGTTTTAGAATTGTTTTTTGTAATTGATCCTAGAATTTGCATCTTTGGAGTAAAACTGAGTATGGCTGTGATCCCAAGTGGTCTCAGTTTGGCCAGATATGAAGTCAGTGGGATTGTGCAAAGGCTGGCTTGAGGGTCAGAGCTTCCCTGTGTTCAAAGGGCAGGGCACTCATAGGGTAAGATTTCCTCCCTACACACCTGCCTTAAAAGTGTTGGGTTTTGTTTTTTAAAAAACTTTTCAGTGTATGTTGTTAACTATTAAGCTGTGCGATAAGGAGGAGATTTTCACACTTGGATTTATTTTTTATTAATGACCGTGTCAGTATTTTTGCCTCTAAATAAAAATCCATCCCGGTTCCAAAAGTCTGGTCAAGTAATCAGTTTTTCAAGGTTTCAATTCCCAATTTTTCTTTTTTCGTTTACATTGCACTCTTAATTTACAGCCTTGCTTTTGCATAAGCTTCAATCATTTCAGTAGGGTTGACACAGGAGTCAAGACTGGTACTGGATTCTACCGTTTTGTAACCTAAACTTAATCTGTTGTTCTGAGCAGTATTTTCGAATCCAAGATCGTCGACTGTTTTATATATTGTGTATATTTATATAAATATTACAACTGCATGGTGGTTTTTTGGTCATTTTTAAGGAGGGAAACCGTATCTGCTCACGTTTACCAAGTGTCCCTGAAGCCGAATTGGGTTCCTTTTGTCTTTCTTGCTGCCTGGTCTGCTTCCTTTAGTTCTGTAGGAACAACCCAGATGGGGTAAAGGCACTTTCAGACTGTGGCTATTTTGGGGTGGGATCCAGTCATGCCCAGGCAGGTTCAGGTCGCGCAGTGATAATCAAATGGGAGGTCTCCTTGTGCAACAAACCTACTTCCCTAGAGGATCAGGCCAATGACCCATGTAGTCTAGCCTTCTGTCCTCACAGTGGCCAACCAGATGTGGCCAACCAGTGGCCAACGGGAAACTTGCAAGCTAGACGAAAGTGCAAAAAGCGCAGGAAACTGATAGGAAAATGCACTGGAAACTCTGGGATGGTACTTTCCCATTGGCGCAAAGTCCTCTACCCTCCTTGCAAACAAATGGGGATGAATGTTCAAGTAAAAGAGGTTGCCTGTCAATGTGCTAACAGGTTTAAGACATAATTTTGAGAGTACGCTAGCAGGAGAGAGACCAATGCTTTCCCTCTGCAACCTTTGTGTGCGTTTGTGGCTGCTGTCCGACTCTTTTGAAACTTAGCCCAGCCTTCCTCAGCCTCAAGTTGTTTTTCATTCTGGGTGCTGAGTATTTGTTTAGTTTCAAAGCCCTGCTTGGCGGTGCAAGGAGATTAGTTCAAATCCGGCAGGGGTGGGGGCGGGTTTGCTGCAAGCTCAACGCTCCGATTTTAATAGCCGCCAACCGACCTCTGTGGGTCTGATTCTTCAGGGCATGAAACTGGCATCTCTTTTGTTGTTCACATGCCTTTCTCTGTGTGCCCAATTCCTCCAGGAAAAGGTGGGTTTTCTTTCGTATGATTCAAATGCCAGAAGGGAAACTATTGTTAAAACTCCAGGTTTGAATGCATGTTACAAGAAAACAAGTTGCGTAGAACGGAGCAAATGTTTCCGCTGAGTAAAATTGCTACAGCTCTTTGCTGCAACAGCTACAAATCTATCCAAAAGAATAGATATGGCAGCAGGTCGTGACTTCAGGACAGTATAGATGTCTTATCCCTTAATACAGTCTTTGCCAACCTGGTACAGTCACACTTTGCTTGCTGAACGCCTTGGAACTCGTACGTTTCCGCTTCGGAATGATCGAAAACCAGAAGTGAGGGTTGTGGTTTTCGAACTATTTTCGGAAGCCAAACATCCAGCGCAGCTTCCTTGGCTTCCGATTGGCTGTAGGATGCTCCTGCAGCCAATCAGAAGCCACGTCTTGGTTTTCAAATGGTTCTGGGAGTCAAATGGACTGCTGGAACGCATTCTGTTTGAGAACCAAGGTATGACTGTACCCTCCAGCTGTTTTGGACTACAACTCTCATCAGGCTGTGTTGGATGGGGTTGATGAACATTGTAGCCCTGCAAAAGACAGATGGAACCAAAGGTTGCCTTAGGCTGAAAAGGATGGTGCCAGAAGTAGAAAATATACAGAAAAGAGCAACCAGTATGACAAAAGCATTGGAGCACCTGTCCGATAAAGAAAGTCAAGCATTTGGGGTTTTTCAGTTTAGGGGAGAGACCACTGGTGGGGATAAGATTTTAGGCATGCAGAAAAGTGGGGGAAGGACTGTAGCTCAGTGGTAGGGCATCTGCCTTGCATACAGAAGGTCCCAGGTTCAATCCCTGGCGTCTCCAGGGATTGAACTCCTACAATTCTGATTCTATGAAGAGTCTGTCCGAAACCCTAGAGAGCCACTGCCAGTCAATACAGACAATACTGGGCTGGGTGGACCAATGGTCTGACTCTGTACAAGGCAGCTGCCTGTGTTTCTAAGTGGCTAGAAATTTCGGCATCTTTCTCTCCCTTCATTGTCAAAGTCTGGGTCATCCAGTGAAATGGATAGGCAGTAAATTTGAGGCACTGGCTTCTTATGAGTTACTAGATTTGGATCCTCCTCTGTCACCTGCCACAAGCTCAGACATCACTGTCAATTTCCAAGACAGTCTTCCAGAGAGGCATCATTTTTCATGGTGTAGGGTCCATGAAGGGTTGCTCTTGTTGGTTACACACACAGGTGTTTGCTGAGATTCTGAGCCAAGTCATACCATTATTTGTCACTCTCTTTACACTATACACACACGCGCACGCATGCACATTATTGGCAACCCAGTACAGAAAAAGAGATTAGCATGAACAGGGGCATCTTGGAAGTGGTTTACTGAAAAATAAGCTGTGAATTTTTGAGGTTAAAAACTAATAACCAGGACTATTCAACATTCTTTGTCCATTAACACAAGGGTAGATTTAATGCTGCTCCCTGGAGGAATCTAATGCAATAGTTGCACTCGTGGAAACCCGTGCTTAGAGAAGGATTTCACAAGTAGGGTTGCCATATAAATTCGATTTCCTGCACTGGCAGACGGTTGGGCTGAATGGCCTTTGTGATCCCTTCCAACAATTCTATATCCTTCATTACTGGTAAGCCTGTGCAATTATTTTAAAATGTCCCTTTAATTATCTCTTCCTGTTGTTTTAAAATGTTTTCATGTCCCTGTGCACTACCCCGATGTTTTGCGAAAGAGTGGTGAATAAATACTTTGATAAATGAATCAAACGAAATATTATTAATGCAAGCGAGAAATCCTTTGCAAAAATGTCAGTTTCCTGTTTCGAACATTGTCACTCCATGCCTCTCCACTTCATGCCAGACGAGATAAAGACATCTTCCTGTTTGGTATTTCTAAAAACATAAGAAGAGCCTTGATAGATCAGGCCAGTGGACCATCTAGTCCAGCATTCTGTTCTCACAGTGGCCTGTGGGGAGCTCAAAAGCAGGAGTATAGCATCTAGATCAAGGGAAGTAATAGTGCCACTGTATTCTGCTCTGGTCAGACCTCACCCGGAGTACTGTGTCCAGTTCTGGGCACCACAGTTCAAGAAGGACACTGACAAACTGGAACGTGTCCAGAGGAGGGCAACCAAAATGGTCAAAGGCCTGGAAACGATGCCTTATGAGGAACGGCTAAGGGAGCTGGGCATGTTTAGCCTGGAGAAGAAGAGGTTAAGGGGTGATATGATAGCCATGTTCAAATATATAAAAGGATGTCACATAGAGGAGGGAGAAAGGTTGTTTTCTGCTGCTCCAGAGAAGCGGACACGGAGCAATGGATCCAAACTACAAGAAAGAAGATTCCACCTAAACATTAGGAAGAACTTCCTGACAGTAAGAGCTGTTCGACAGTGGAATTTGCTGCCAAGGAGTGTGGTGGAGTCTCCTTCTTTGGAGGTCTTTAAGCAGAGGCTTGACAACCATATGTCAGGAGTGCTCTGACGGTGTTTCCTGCTTGGCAGGGGGTTGGACTCGATGGCCCTTGTGGTCTCTTCCAACTCTATGATTCTATGATTCTAGGACCTGAGAGCAAGAGGACTTCCTCCCTCCTGTGGGTTCCAGCGACTGGTATTCAGAAGCATCGCTGCCTCTGAGAGCCAGTGTAGTGTAGTGGTTAAGGGCGATAGACTCGTGATCTGGGGAACTGGGTTCGCGTCTCCGCTCCTCCACATGCAGCTGCTGGGTGACCTTGGGCTGGTCACACTTTGTAGTCTCTCAGCCCCACTCACCTCACAGAGTGTTTGTTGTGGGGGAGGAAGGGAAAGGAGAATGTTAGCCGCTTTGAGACTCCTTCAGGTAGTGATAAAGCGGGATATCAAATCCAAACTCTTCTTCTTCTGACTGTGGAGGCAGAGAGCTTATTCCTCATGGCTAGTAGCCACTGATGGCCTTTCCCTCCACGAATTTGTCTAATTGTCTTTCAAAGCCAATGAATTCTCCTGAACATCCTGGAGGTCCCAGGCCACAGAGAGGTTAGGCTGGCCTCAACCAGAGCCAGGGCTTTTTCGGCTGTGGCTCCGATCTGGTGGAACGCTCTGTCACAAGAGACTAGGGCCCTGCGGGACTTGACATCTTTCCGCAGGGCCTGCAAGACAGAGCTTTTCCACCAGGCCTTTGGCCAAGGCACAACCTGACCCCCTCCTTTGGTAATTCTTCACAGAACTCTAGCCCAATGGTTGCCATTAATTTGATTTGAACTGATTTTATAATGAATTGATTTTAGAATGCTGTATTATTTTATTGTTGTCAGCCGCTCTGAGCCTGGCTTCGGCTGGGGAGGGCGGGATATAAATAAAAAATTATTATTATTATTATTATTGAAGTGATGGATTTTGACCAGACCCTCCAGATGAAACCCCACAGCAAATCTACTTCAAACCTGGCAGGGTCAACAAAGGGGAAATTACCCAGTCAGCAGGCAAAGAGGAAAAGGAAACGCTCAGTCACATCTGCAGCAGGATGTTTAAGGCAGCATTTCCCCTTCCTGTCCACAGATGTATTTGCCGTGCATCTGCTCTTTGGAGAATACTCCAGGCTCCTCCACCCCATTCTAAGCTAACAATTGCATTGCATGGTTTTTTTTATATAGCATAACACAATCAAAGCAGCTTACAATGATACCATAAACATACACAATGCCTTGCGGCACCTTGAAGACTAAAGGCATGTACACATTAGCAGCTCGAAGCACAATGAGGTCATTTCCCCCCAACCCACCCCGGCTGTGTTTCAACCTAGGTTTCACATTGCTGTACACAACATTACCTGATTTGTTTTCCCGGGCAAAACCTGATTTCCACCCTATCCTGTGCCTGCAACAACCAAAACTCTTATCCAGGGGTCAGCAAACTTTTTCAGTAGGCGACTGGTCCACTGTCCCTCAGACCTTGTGGGGGGGCCGGACTATATATATTGAAGGGGGGGGAGAACGAATTCCTATGCCCCACAAATAACCCAGAGATGCATTTTAAATAAAAGCACACATTCTACTCATGTAAAAACACCAGGCAGGCCCCACAAATAACCCAGAGATACATTTTAAATAAAAGAACACATTCTACTACAGTGGTACCTCGGGTTAAGAACCTAATTTGTTCTGGAGGTCAGTTCTTAACTTGAAACTGTTCTTAACCTGAGGTACCACTTTAGCTAATGGGGACTCCAGCTGTGGCTGTGCCACCGGAGCACAATTTCTGTTCTCATCGTGAAGCAAAGTTCTTAACCCGAGGTACTATTTCTGGCTTAGCGGAATCTGTAACCTGCAGCGTCTGTAACCCGAGGTACCACTGTACTCATGTAAAAAAATGCTGATTCCCGGACTGTCCGTGGGGTTGGTTTTAGAAGGCGACTGGGCCGGATCCGGTCCCTAGGCCCTAGTTTGCCTACCCATGCTCTTATCCAATTTAGCCATCATCTCTTCATGTGTTGCTATCTGGGAATGTACAATGGATGTCTAACATGTGCATGCCTCAGCTTTACCATGCCTTACATTTTTGAACAGGGTGAAAGCTGGTTTGAGAGAAATCACATCCATCAGCAGCATTTCCCCCAAAACTACAAGCTACCAATGGGTTGTGGCTGACATCTTGTGTACACAGCTTCAGACACCAGCACTGGGAGCAGAGTAAGGGGCAATGGATATGCAGCTGAAGCGTTGTACTGTGTTTTGTGGATTAGCACTTAATTAGATAAAGGACAAGCACATCTGGAATTTACTAGTGATATCTGGTTTTCAACATCATGATATCACCAGCTAAAACATCGCAATATACTGACATATCACGGTGTTTGAAATAAGGATGGAGCTATGTAGAGGCATTGGCTGGCTTCACGGTTTCCCCCACATTGTGATTTCTGCATAACACACAGACAGACAGACAGACAGACAGACAATGATTTGCAATACAGTGGTACGTCGGGTTAAGTACTTAATTCGTCCTGGAGGTCCGTTCTTAACCTGAAACTGTTCTTAACCTGAAGCACCACTTTAGCTAATGGGGCCTCCTGCTGCCGCACCGCCAGAGCATGATTTCTGTTCTCATCCTGAAGCAAAGTTCTTAACCTGAAGCACTATTTCTGGGTTAGTGGAGTCTGTAACCTGAAGCGTATGTAACCCGAGGTACCACTGTATATTGCCAGGTCAAAAATTATGAATCTGCTATCACGATATGGACTTGAAAATGGTTTCCGACAATATATCAACATATTGCCCAGCCATACTGCTAAGTTTATTTATTGTTTGTAAAAGTATTGCTATACTGCCGTATCACAACATATAAAGGAAGCATACAACCCTAAAACACCATTCAAAACAATAGGAGGAATTCAACACAGTGCTAAGCAGATTGCTCTGTCAGCTTGCCTGATGGACCAACCTGCCCTCTTTCCCCCCTGCATACCCAGGAGCCAATGGGGTGCACAGAGGGGAAAGCCCCACTGCAATAGTTTAAGTCCTTGCACGGGCTTCTGTCAGTGGGAAATCCCAGAGGGTTGCTTCCAACAAAATTCTGCTCCAGAGTAGACCCACTGAAATTCCATCCAAACGTTAAAAACATCCACAATTAAAATATACAAGACAACAAGCTAGTAAAAAAGCACATCAGTTTAAACATTTAAAAGAGCAATTAAAACAACTTGATCAAGAAGTTCAAATTCAGGAGAATGTTGGTCTAAACAGGTGTGTCTACAAGATCCAGGAACAACTTCTTCTTCTTCTTTGGCGATCCCTCGTAACTAAGTAAGATTGTCTTCCATAAACACGGTTTTAACAGTGAGTCCTTAAGTGACTGTGGAAGCCAATTCTGG